GATCCTCCCACTTCAGCCTCCCAAATAGCTGGGACCACAGGCGCGCTCGGGGCTTTGCAGTCCCCGGGAGGAAGGGGTCTGCCCAGGGCTAGCGATTTTCTGGAGATGGTGAGCAACTGCCCTGCAAGGGCACCTTGATGTGCCAACCACACAGTCCCCAGGTCAAAGCCCCACCTGCCTCTTTTCAGTGTGGATAATGTCTGCACGTTTCTGCAGAAGTGGAGAGAGATGCACAGTATGCATGCATATTAGATACATGTTTACATATGCATGCAATGTATACAAGCGTATGTGTATGTATATGTATGTATCGATGGTATGTGTTCTTGCATGTAATATACACTACCTATGTGAATTTTCCGTGGGGGGCGGGGTCCCCAATCCAAGGCCGCATGGGACACCCATCTCATTCTAAGTAAAAACTTGGGCAGTCCCACTTCCCATTACTCGGAGATTAAAAATACACATATTCCACCGTCACCTAGAACTGCCCAATACAGTCTCAATTCCGTTGCTACCCTCCACTGCCGCATCTAAAGCTGTGGCTAGTTATGTGGGTCTCTCCGGCGGAGCTGGCTGTGTCCCGCCCTCCAGGCCACTCGGAGGCCTGTCCTGTCCTCTGTCCTTCCTGCCTTATGTGGCCACCCAGGGTCCTGTGTGCGCTGGGCGGAAGGGGATCAGGGCCAGGTGAGTCTTTCCTGGACAGGTGTGTTGCTAGGCCACTGCCCCGTGGTCACCCAGGCCAGGCAGGTCCCCTGGACTCTGTCTCCTGACCCCCCGCAGAGCGCGGCAGATGCATTTCTCTCCTGCCGGGCTTTGGGGAGCAGAGTGAGGCCCGTCCTCAGGGTTGGGCCATTTCTGCCATATTCTCTTCTCTTTTTCTGGTTCACTTAATCTAAGCCCCCAAAGTCCCCTGTCCATGACCATTCCCATGTCTCCCTGCCTTCCTTATGGGTTTGGTTTTTGTTTTTTGAAAGTTCCTGCCGGAGTCCTTGGCAGGCATCTGCTGTGACCCTGGCTGTGTTTATGTCACAGAAAAGTGACCCCAGCCCCTCGCCCCCTCCACCTCCTTTGCCAGGGCGTCCCCTTCATGCGGGGACCTTGGTTTTCCTTCCGAAAACACCCCCCATGAGGCTGCAGAGGCCCTGCTCGGCTCCAGAGGCCTCTCTGCGAGGCCTGGGGTGCAGCCTCGCCCACCCACAGGACGACAGAGCAAGGGGACAGGCGTCCGTGTCCAGCCCCCACCCACGAGGCCCGAGCGCACACGGTGCTGAGAGATCAAACGTGCTTTAATGGGGGGCAGCGCCCAGGTCCTGCCTGGGCCCCGGGGGGACGGTGCTGGCGGGGCCCGCGGGCTGCTTGCCCTTCCCACCCGGCCTGCCCTTCTTGGTGGCCGAGGAGCCGGCCTTCCTCTTGCCGGGCGGGATGGGGGTGGCGGCGTCCACCGCGGGGGGCCCCGGGCGGGGCGGCGGCTCGTCATCCAGCGCCCGGAAGTTGAAGAAGCAGTCCACGTTGGACACGGTGTCCAGGATCTCGGGGACGCTGTAGTCGAAGGACAGCAGCTCGTCGGGCAGGTGTAGCGAGTGGATGTCGCTGGAGTCGTCACCGCCGCCGCGGCTGTCCGGCAGGGCGGGCCCGGGGACCTTGCGGGGGACACCCTCGGGCTCGGCGCCGCCCGGCAGGCAGTCGAAGAGCTTCATGGCGTCTTCCAGCAGCACCTTGTCGGGCAGCGCAAAGGCTCTGGCCGCCTCCGGGGCCTTGGCCTCGCCTGCCCTCGGTGGGGCCGCCTCCTGGGCCTCAGCCGCCTTGGGCTCGCCAAGGCCGGGCGGGTGCAGCAGCTCCTTGGCGGGGAAGGTGGCCTCAGGCGCGGGGAACTGGCCGAGGCTGCCCCTGAGGTGGCCGTAGGCGCTGGGCGGCAGCGCGGGCTCGGCGGGCAGCGCGATGACCACGGGGGCTGGCTTGTTCTCCTTGGGGGGCGCCGGGGGCAGCTCCCCAAAGGCGGGCGGCCCCCCGTCCCCCACGAAGCCCAGAGCCTCTGGGCCGGGCCCCTCGGGCGGGAAGTAGGGCACGAGGTACTGGGCCCCGCCGGGCGCCGGCTGGTAGTGGGGGTTCGGGGGCGGCGGGGGCGGCCCTGGAGCCTTGAGGTAGTGCTGGGGCTCCAGCAGGTAGCTGCCCGGTGAGGCCGGGCCCCCAGCCGGGACCCCCGCGGGCCCCACACTGCCTGCCGCCGCCACCAGCTTGTACAGGGACGACTGGCCAAAGTCAGTGGTGGCCCACTCAATCCGGTAGATCCGAGGGTCAAAGAAGCACCCGCAGGGGGCCATCTGGAACCCTGCAGGCCGGGCAGGGCCTGAGAGCCACACCCAGCACCTCCGGGCGGCCCACACCTGGGGCCTGTCTGGGCGGCAGGGGACACAGGCCTTGCCCTCGGGGTCCCACGGAGGGACACGGCAGGGGCAGGAGGGTCCCCCCCACGCTAACCCACTCCCAGCTCCTCTCCAAGGGTGGGGAGGCCGGTACCTGCAGGGGGAGCCGGAAACACCTCTTTCTCCGGGTTTGGGAGGTGGTACAGGGTAGAGGAGCCTGTGGACAAAGGTGCCCGGATGGGGGGCGGCTGCGGCCCTGAGGCTGGTGGGCGGGAGCCCTGGGTCCTGACCCCGCCGGGCACCCCACCCACCCCAACTCGTACCCACGGCGGGAGGTGGCTCGGTGCAGGCGGCCGCGGGCTGGCTGCCTGGCCCCTTGGCGCTCTCCAGGCCCCGGGGCCGGAAGCCTTCTTGGGGAGCCGCAGGTACGTAGAAGGGTTTGGGGTGCTGCATGGGTAGGTGGGCGGCAGCCGGCCCGGCTGGAGGTCAGCAGGCGGCAGGGAGCAGAGGCGGCCCACCAGGAGAACAGGCTCTGAGTCCCCAGGGTTCTGTTTGCCTTGTTACTCAGGGCGATGGGTTCCAGGCCCCGGCCCGCCCACTGGTCAGGGTTCCAGGTGGGGGGGTGGCCCAGGGAATGGATGGGGAGCCCACAGCAGGTGTCACCAAGGGCAGGCAAACCCAGGGCCAGGTCCCCTGCCTTCTGCCTCCTCCAGCAACGCCCAGCTAGCAGCTTCAAGGCCACCTCCTCCAAGCAGGCCGCCCTGATCTGCACCTACATGGGCCAAGGCCGCCCTGCCCACACACCCCACTGCCTTCATCCTGGTCAAGACCCTCCCGCCCCCGGGCACCTGCAGAACCCAACCCCGGGCTTGGCGGATACGTGAGCAAAAGGAGAGGAAGGAACAGCCAGGGGACACGGCGAGCGGAGGACAAGCTCCAGGGAGGGGCCGGAAAGGGGCAGCCTTGGTGTCACAGAAAGGCCTGGATTTTAAAAGAATAAAATTTATTGTCTTCTCCGTGCACTGGGGGGCCCCTCGGAAGGCCCCCGCCGGCCCTGGGTGCCCGCGGCTACTTGTACGCGTTGGCCTTGTGCTTCGGCAGGAAGACGAAGTTGGGGGGCACCGGTCCCAGGAGCATCTCGCTGCAGGGAGGGCAGGGGGTGGGGTCAGGCCTCAGCCAGGCCCCGCCTCCGCACAGCAGGCCCCGCCCCTGGCCCCGCCCCGGGCACCTGATGCGGATCCAGTCCGCGGCCTTCTGACTGGCCATGAGCGTCTCCAGGTGGTCGCGGCCCAGGTAGTAGGGCGGCCGCGCGTTGATCCTCTGCGGGAGCCGCTCCAGCAGGCCCACGGGCACGTACCTGCGGGCAGGTGAGTGGCGGGGACACGGTCGGGCCAGCCCAGCCACACGCCCCCCCGCCCACCGTGGCCGCGCGGCGCCCACCTGCACAGGAACGACAGCCACTCGAGCAGGAAGCGCCGGGTCCTCTCCACGCCCTGCGTGTCGGAGCCCCAGTGCTCTAGGCCGTAGTTCGTGAAGTCACGCAGGATGTCCAGGCGCTCGGACGACGAGATGTCCCAGTGTCGCTGCTCTTTGATTTCCGTGAACAGCCACGGCTTCAGCAGGGCGCCGCTATGGGGCGGGCGGCGGTCAGCAGACCCGGCCGAGAGCCTGGCCCGAGCCACAGGCCTGAGCCTCCCGCTGCGGTCACTTGACAGTCCGAGCCCAGGAGCTTCTACCCACAAACGTCAGATCCCACGGCTGCGAGATTTCCAGTCCCCTCTGCCTCAATCCCGCGACATCTAACGCCTCTCTCTGCCTCTCTCTGCCTCTCCCCGTCCCCGGGACAAACGGCACGACACAGGCAGGGCGGGCGAGAGCGCACGTTGCGTTTGGGGCACCCGCTGCGGTGCACGAGCTCGAGCTGGTTCTCTGCAACCCCGCCGGACACTTACCGGGCAATCATGATCCCAGCGACGCCAGTCTGCATGGCGCAGTTGGCATCCTCGTATGACAAGATGTCCCCGTTTCCTGAGGGGACAGAGACTGTGGTCTCAGGAAGCCGCACGCAGGCGGGCGGGATGCAGGGGCTCCCGTCGGGAGTCTTTGCTAACCCAACGGTTCCCAGCAGGGCAGGGGGAAGGAGTCCCGGGAAGGGAGTGGTGGCCTCGGGTGGCAGGGCATAGGGCACCCACCGAACAGGGGCATGGGGCCGGCTGCCTTCACACACTGCGCGATGTACTGCCAGTCGGCCAGCTTGGTGTAGCGCTGCTCCCGGGAGCGGCCGTGGAGCTGGGGGGGCGCCCCAGGCAGGGAGGCAGGCGGAGAGAGGGGCAGAGAGAAAGAGACGGGGAGGGACAGGCTGAGAGACAGACACAGAGACGGAGGCAGACGGAGACGGACACGGAGGGAGAGATTGAGATGAAGAGGGAGGGATGGGAAGAGAGGGGCCGTTAGGAAGAGACTCGGGGTGCCCACGAGGCCCCGACACCCACGGCGCCCCGAGACCCACCGTGACGAGGGCCGCGCCCCAGTCCCACAGCTCGGGCAGCAGGCGGTGCGCCAGGTTCACGCGCTCCTGGACGCCCGTGCGGATCTTCACGGTCAGTGGCACGTCCAGCACCTGTGGGACGGCGGGAGGGGGCGGTCGGCGGGGCCCAGAGTCGGCTGGGGGTGAACGTGGGGACGTTGGTCCGGCCGTACCTGGTTCATGCCGCGGACGATCTGCTGGAACTTGGCGGAGCGATTCATGAGGGCGCAGCCCCCGCCCTGGGAGACACGAGTGGCTGGGCCGGGCCTGACGCACTGCGCCCCTGTCCCCGGGCCTCCCACGCTGAAGACAGCGACCCAGAGAAAGCGCGGGCACCCCAGGGCCACGCACATGTGGCCGAATCCCCTGACCCACCACCCACCACGTCACCTGCTGGCTCAGTGCCCTGACTGCCCAGATGGGAAACTGAGGCATGAGTCCGCGAGGCACAGGAGGTGGCAGTGCTGGGTCCCAGGCCCCCACCTGCCCCACCCGAGCCCTGCTCGCTCTAGCGCTCCAGGGCCGAGCGGCTGCTACCTTCTTGTACACGAGGTCGATGGGGCAGCCGACGTTGATGTCCACGAAGTCCACCTCGACGGTGCGGTTCAGCAGCTCCGCGCACTTGGTCATGGTGTCGGGGAAGGCGCCCTCCAGCTGTGGCGGGGGCAGGGCAGGGGGTGAGGGGCAGGTCCACACTGTCCCGTTAGGCCGTTCACTGTCCCCTGGGGGGCCCTGAGCCAGTTGGCTCCTGTCCCTGGGCCGCCCTGGAAGGAGCTGATGTCTGTCTTCGAGGCACCGGCCCCTGGCCAAGGCCATCGGCCCTCGGAAACAACCGAGGCAGACCCTGAACCTGGCTCTGAAACAGGGCAACCGAGGGCCCCTCGGGGCGGGCACTGACCTGGACGCCGAAGATGTCCTCACACTGGTGGCGTTTGAGCAGTGCCCACTCGGACGTCTGGCCCTGCAGGAGGTTAGTGCAGACAGCCATCTCCCCACACGTCACGTCCGCCCCGAAGCGCTTACAGATCCGCCGGAAGGGCAGGTTCCCGCACTAGGGGTAACAGGACACGCACACACACGTGAGGGCACGGCAGCCAGGGACCCCCGACACCCGCTCCAGCCCCAAGACCCAGCGGGTGGAGACAGACACTGAGCGCTGTCGAGTGACCACACTGCCACCCAGCCCACCCCACCAGCCTTGCCCAGGTCCTACCGTGGTGAGGGGGGCCAGATATAGTTTGCCACCGATGTCCAGCTGGAGGGGAAAAAACATGCAAGCGAAGCTCGATCCTCCAACACAGCTTCTGAGGCCTCTGGGGTCCCCCTTCTCCCCACAATCTAGGACATGCTCTGCCCTGCCCAGACCAGCCTGGCTTCTTTCCATCTCTGGGCCTTTGCACACGCCAGTCAACCCTTTTATAAGCAATGTTCTTTTTTCCTATATTCTTCTCCACTGGGGAGCTTCTACTCAACCATCAAAACCCCAGTCCCAATGCCCCCTGTTCCAGAAAGCCTTCCATACTATTCCTATCTGCCCAGCCCTGATTCTCTGGGATTGAAGTGTGTGTCCAGCTCTTTCTGACCCCCCAGACTGGGCTCCTTGAGGACGGGGCCCAGCGCAGAGCACAGAGGGGGGCATTGGCGGAGAGATCCCCAAGGGCACAGCCTCTGGCTCCCGGGAGTCTAGAACGGGAACGTGGACGTGGCTGGTGCCCAACTGATGCGGCCGAACGGACAGGTCTGCTACTAGCATCGTCCCCAACGGGGAGCCCGCAACACGCACCCGCTTCTTCTCACAGGGCCTCAGCCTGACTACGTCCTCGTCCGTCAGGGGTCCGCAGGTCCGCACGGGGCTGCGGGGAGGGGTGTCGGCGCCCGGGCCTGCAGGGGCCTCCTGGGCCTCACAGCTGTTCTGCCCTGGAGCCCCCTCAGCCGCTGTGACCTCAGGGACAGCGGCAGCAGGCGGGGGGCCTTGGCTTAGCTGGCGCAGGATCTGCTCTGATCGCTCGAAGCGGATCTTGCGCTTCCGCAGCTGCTGCTGCAGGGCCTTGTCCAGGCCGTTGCGGACGGGCGGGCGCTGGGCCCAGCGGGCCGCCAACTCCTCCTGCACCAGGTTCTGGCCCTCGGGCCCCAGGTGGGCCCTGGCGAAGCGGCAGGTCACACCATAGGGGCACCTGCCAAAGGTCTCGAATAGCACACAGCGGGGGCCCAGGTCGGCGGGCTTGGTCTCCAGGTAGTGGCCCACATCGTGCAGAAAACGGCAGCGGTCACCGAAGAAGCACTTGGCTGCCGACTCCTGCGGGGAAACGGCGAGGGAACGAGGGAGGACGGGGAGAAACTGGGGCAACGTGGGTCCGAACCCTGGATCGCCCCTCCTGGCTGTGTGTCCCTGGGCAAGTTGGTAGCATCACGGTGCCCCGGTGTCTTCGTTACAAGAACAGTGACAATCCTCATGTCGTAGTAGCACGAGGAGGAAGACTGAATGGCAGCACAGAAAGCTCAGACCCTGGGACTTTCTAACAATTGCAGGATGGCAGAAAATACCACCTGCTTCTGCCTGTCCCAGCAGGGACACCCCCCTGGCCACACTTACCTGGATCAGGGAGGGGCAGAGCCTGTTCTGGTCGTAGTGTGTGGGCTTCATGTGGGGCCGGCCCTTGTTCTGGCCCCGGGCCCTCTTCTGAGCTGGCAGCGGCTCCCCGTGCTCAGCTGCCCTGTCTGTCTGCCCGTCCTGCGTCTGTCCATCCTCCAGGCGGATTCGCTTGGCCTCAGGCTCAGCCACGTCATTGTCACCGGGGTCTCCTGTTTCAGTTTCCTGGCAAGGCTTCTCCTGCCCTTTGGCTTCTAGGAATTTGTGAAACTGCTCCTTGGTGGTAAGGTATCTGCCAATGGACAGGAAGAGGAAAGGAGAGCTTGTCCAGGGAGTCCCTTTTCTGAGCTC